GACTTACTAAAATTTCTAATTAGCGGCTCGTCCAGGTTCCTATGGTGCTAGTTTTGTGGCCTTGCCTGGAGAAATGTTCCATAATTATTTTATTTTTTTATTTCTTTTTTTTAGAAACGATAATTATTGTGAACCACTAGAGTACTTAACGTTACTGATAACACTAACTGCGTGACAAATTGTTAGTACAGTAGTTTGGCCCATTAACATTTTCACCTGAAAAAATTACTTTGATGTAAAGATTTGGAGTTGAGCCAGCGTGATTTGGAAAAAATAGTGGGCTGTATAGAGAAATTTGTTGTAAAAAAATGAATTTCTCAATTTTCTTTATTCACGGTAAAAAAATTAATTAAAAAATTAAAATTAATTTTAACTTGAATATCTCGTAAACCATTAAAGATATTTAAAGGATTTTTAGGAAAAGTAATAAAATACTGATTTGTATAAATTTTATTCTTTATTGAAAAAAAAACTATAAAAAAGACAAGTTTTTATAAAAAACAATATTTTTCGTAAAAATCGCTTCATTAACGTTATATGTACACATATACATAAATAATATGGTTAGAAAAGGTGTAAATCGAACTTTAATTTGATATACACCGCGTCACATTTGAACAATCGCGCAATTTATTATTCCAAATTTTCAATACATATTAATATACATATTATAATTATAATACAAAATTTTATAAAAGAATGTTTAGGCCTTCGCCCCCAGCTAAGAGCACACTCAATATCTCAACCCTTAATCAACACGTAAAATTTTAATTTTCTTTAATTGAAAAATATCTGGTTTGCTAATTTTTATTTATTGGCGGCTGAGTGGAAGTTCGACCTATCTCGAAAGGCCCTATCTCAGCTGCAACTTCAAAAACGCCCTACATTAACATAATTTCAATATATTTTCCTTTGAGATAGGACGTTTTTCAATAAAATTCTTAGATGGGCGTTCTTGAACGAAATTCTGAAGTAGGGCATTATTGAGCCATTTTTTGAGACGTGATTTGAAAAAAATCATTTTTTATCAAATTTTGTAATTATAAAAACTTTTTTTCTCATAAGCTTTACAGGAAACATAAAACACGGGGGGGAAACAAATAGGGACGCGACATTATAAAAAATTTTGCCCCACTTTCTTTTATTGGTTTAACATTTATTATATTTTTACAAAAATCATAAATGTAAATTCATATGTGAAGCGTTGGGCAAGAATGATCGAAAATCTGCAAATTTGCATATATGTTTTCAACTTTTTAATCCGATTTTTTAGAATTTTTTTGAGTATGCAGTTTTAAATTTTAGCATAATAAAGTCAACGCTCGAAGTTGCTAAAAAATCGTGTCGATTTTTTATAATTTTTTTCTGACTATTACGTATTTATTTCCATAGAAAAAAATTTTCGCACACTCTATGTATGGAAGAAAATACGTGCAAAATGTTGCCAAAAATCAAAGCGACTTTTCAGCAACTTAAAACTTACACGTTGTCATACTAAAATTTAATAAATATAAAAAAATGTATAAAAAATCTGGTTGAAAATTTGAAAATTTAGATGCAACTTTGCAGAATTTGTATAATTATTGCACAAGGTTTGAAATATGAATTTATATGTCTTTTGTTAGATAATGAGCTATACTTTTAACACTTCAAACAAAACATAAACCAAAGAAAAATAGACACAACTTGTTAAAATGTCGAGTGCCTATTTATATTTGCACCACTGTATGTATCAAAATATTTTCAATGAATAAAGTAGTTTTTTTTGTTTTTTTAATTAAAAGAAATTGAAAACTGTGTACTTTGACCTTCAATAACACCAGTTATTATTTCCCCCTCAAAAAAAAAATATACCTTTATGGTCAGCACTAGGACCTCTATCGATCCCCATAATTTTTTTTTCAGTCTGAGGAATGTACATATTTTGCACTTATACCACGTTTTCAAACTTTAATCTAGAATTTTATAGTATACCAACTAAAAACGTTTTATTACTATTCGTATAGTGCCGGAAGCTAGTCGTTGCTCTGGCTTTTATTATTGGCACGAACACCTAGCACTTTGTCTATAACACAATAAGTTCCACTGGTGTTTTTAATTTTATTGGTTCATCAACGTCGCTGTGACAATTGCATTGTGCTGCTTTGCGTTGCGTTGCACATTATTATGCGTCATGCTTACAAGTTTCACGGGCATGTTGTTGTTATTGTTCTTATTACTATCATCACAAACTACTACTTAATGCTGTAAGTGTACGCACGACAAAAAAACGTGAAAAATGTCCGTCCGCCTTTCACACCTCTACAATAAACTCTACAATTTATGCCACCATTTATGCTACAGCCTAACGCCACCATTAAGAAAAAAACTCCACTTATAAATGCAAGCATTGACATTTAAAGCAAATCGTCCGGCAAAATGAAATGTGCCCGTTTGTTGTGTCTGAGTACTGCGTCCAGCCCATCCAAAACTGGACTATGCTGTCTGGTGACTGCTGTCATTCGTCATGCGCCCCCAGACCGTTATAAAAGTAAGCACGCATGGTTTTATGTATGTATGTGTACATGCGCCTATGTTGGTATGAACTCCAAATCTCATGCTATAGCACAGAACAGAGTAACTTGTTATATTTGTAAAGTAGGGGAAAATTAAGGTTTTGTGTAGTTAATTTTTTTTTTCATATATTTTTGGTACCTCATATTTCAGTTTTACTTTATGGCTGTCAGAAACAAAAGTACAGCTAATGGTTTCTAGCAAATGCACCTCTTGGCGTTGCAACCGGCTTAAAAGCTCTCAGCTCTAATAAAATGCTTGCCTGAGGTTTAATATGGTACCTACTCCATAAAAAGTGGTGTGGTTGGTTGTCTGTTGTAAAAACGGCCCTTATTGCTTCTTTGGCGATAGAGTTACCACTTCATCGAATAAACATACTGGTTAACTCGTTTCAAGAAAAGTTGGGGCTTAAGATCTATTTGGAACCAAGGTATCTCAATCACGAACCTATACATAGAGGGTTAGGTTAGACGAACAGCTCCGGTTAAATACTTCTCTCTTAGACCGCACAGGCCCTTAACGCCCAGGAGTCAGACCTATCGCTACATATATTTAAACCATCCCCATTTTTTGCCGAATTCTAGTAGACTCTCTAATGGAGTTTCCTCTAAGCTGTCTAAACTCTCGAGGAAGTGATTTCCCGCAAATTTGGGGCGCCTTCTCATGCATCTGCTGAGTAGCTTCTACAGGTAGTCGGTTCGAATCCTACTGAAAGAAGTCTGATGAGGAAATGTGGTGATTTCCGAAATAGCTATCACTTCTACCATTTTTTCAAATTATTGTTGCTTTTCCACAATAAGTTTTCATTAAAAACGGCCTCGAGCTCAATAAAAATTGTTGAACATATTTTGTAGGAAACTTTTTTCTGGATTAGACTTCCGGTTAAAACAATGAACCTCAGGTCGAAACTGGAAGTCAGTAATATGCCCAAAAGAAACGCATTCCCGACTTGCTGATTCATATTAGCCGCCATGGATTTGCCAACACTTGGCGAGTGGCGAAACGAATGATATTAATGAGGTACATGCCACCCACCGTCCATCGTTGGTAGCTAATTTTGTTGTTGCTTTCACACACAAAATGTTTCGTTAAGCGAGCGGAACTCAAACATAGCGAGCACATAAGTAGCGAATCGAGGGTGGCTATTTTTTCGTTTGCCAATAAAAACTCGTTTATTTTAGAAGTCCAGGACACGTTTTTCCTAGAAAAAAGTTTCAAACAAAAGAAAATATTGAGCATCCCGACAGGGTATATCAAATTTTTGAATTTTCCAATCAAAAAACATTTTCCTCCATTTTAAAAGGGGAAGGGTGGTCTAAACCGAAGTCCCACATAAACTTCAGATGAGCTTATTGGTTTAGGATGTAAATGTGCTCAAAAACTGTGGCCTCACTAAACTACTCTTACGTCTACTGTCATCGCACTTGACTAAAAGATGCGATGGTGTTGCTTTGGACGAGTTCCAAAAGCGGCTGTTATCATTTCCAAAGTACCTTTTTTGTGCAGATTGCCGTTTCCTCTGCATTTTCTTTTTCTGGATGATGGGTTAAAAGTGGAATATTTTCAAACTTCATTCGCCAAGTAAGCACTTTGCCTGTCGTTGTCCCTTTTAGCGTTCCCTCATTGATATTTTCTCTTTCTGAGCTTTATTTTTTATTGCATTTGGACCTTAGCGGCAGGAAAGTCTCATTTCGGCCGGATAGACTTGTTTGACTTGTCTGTCTTTGAAGCCTGGTACCCACGGTACTTGGATATACAGTGGTGGAAGAAATAAAAATCAATGCGATTTTCTAGCGTCTTGCGGTTTGCACTTTTACCTCCTAAAATTTAATGGGCTATGAAACTGCGTATCCAAACTTTTTCGAAAAAAATCTGATTGAAAAGTTTGAATTTTTCGGGGGATTTTGTTAAAATTTGTTGAATTTTTATAATTTTTGTACAAACTTTGAAATATGGATTTATATAGTGGGTGTTATATGTATATTGCGTTAGACTTTTATACAAAAACATTAAACATCGAATAAACAAAGTAATATAGCCAAAACTGGTCAAAGTAAAAATTTTCTATTATTTCTTCCACCACTGTAATTACTTCCGTCAAGGGAGTTAAATGCTTCCATGTACCCGAATACCTTTTAATTTAAACCTACATATTGGTCCCGGTATTATAGTTGTCTGCTTTTTTTCGAGGCAATAACGTACTTTATCGTAAAACCATAAATACAACCAAATGTCTGTGGATATTTGACAAAAAGCTTACCTGCGTTCCTATACAATAATCCACCTACTGGCTAATCACGTACATCGAAATTCTAGAATCAAGTCGTTTTATCAAAAGTCTACGTATATTATACAAGTTTTTTAATGAAATCCTAGGCTTTTATAACTATGTACGCACATGCTATATATTTTTCTATAATTTTTTTTTTTTGTTTCTTTTTTTGCAGAGGCAAATTCGCTGCTGTACGTCGCGCTATACACAAAAATTCTGGTGTACATTTTGCTGCCAAATTTCTAAAACGACGCCGACGCGCTCAATCCTCAGATAAGGAGATCAAACATGAGATCGCTGTGCTAATGCTATGCGATGGCGCCGACAACATTGTCAAATTAAATGCGGTGCACGAGTCACGCTCCGATACGGCGTTGCTGCTGGAACTGTAAGTGGAAGAGTCAATGAAAAAATATTTAAAAAAAAAACCCAATGTATGTAATTCTAATACAAATTCAATATTTCTAGAGCAACCGGTGGTGAACTACAAACATTTCTAGACAATGAGGAATGCCTCAGTGAGGCACATGCCCGCTATTGCATGCGCGAAGTACTTAAAGCATTACAATTTTTGCACAAACGTTCGATTGCACATCTCGACCTGAAGCCACAAAATATATTGCTCACTGGTGAGCGCATTGAAGGTGAGTATATTTGCATACATACAGTTGCCCACAAAATAATAGGGAGTGTGATATTTTAACTAGTTTTCATTTGTTTGTTTGATCTTTATTTTTTATTTTTTTTGATCTCTTGAAAGATGAAAATTCAACAAATTGAAAAATTTTAGGTATGGCGCTTTATAGCCCATTACATTTTAGTATAGGCAACAAAAACCGTTGATTCGGGATAAGAAGTTCGAAAATTTGGCGAAATTTTATTTTTTTGAACAAAATTTTAAATTTGGATTTAAGGTTTTTGTTAGATAATGGCTATACTTTATAAAAAATTAAGAAACATTTAACAAGCAAAGGAAAAACCCTTCAATATACCGCACTCCTATTATTTTGTGGGCAACTGTATATCGTGCATACAAATTGTTTTACTAGTAAACGAAATTTATACTATTTTGTGCTTCCTCCTTTTGCTATATTACAGATGGTTTAAAACTGTGCGATTTTGGCATCTCTCGTGTCGTTGCCGAAGGCACAAATGTGCGTGAGATTGTCGGCACACCGGATTATGTTGCCCCCGAGGTGTTGCAATACGAACCGCTCTCATTGTTGACAGACATTTGGTCGGTGGGCGTATTGGCGTATGTGCTACTGTCCGGTTTTTCGCCTTTCGGTGGCGAAACAAAACAGGAAACGTTCCTCAACATATCGCAATGTGCACTGACATTTCCGGACAAACTGTTTGGCGGAGTGTCCGCTGTGGCAATTGATTTCATACGTCGCGCCTTGCGAATAAAGCCAAAGTAAGTTGATTAGAGTTGGAGTAAGAGTAGAAGTAGAAATAGAGTTGCGCCAGCATAGTAGCGAAATAAATGTAATGGCGTTGCGCATCTAAATATAATGTACATTAGGGTGCATCACTCTCCATACAAAAAAAAAGTTGGTACTGTTTTTCCACGGAAATATCAAATTTATTATATTCTAAGACTTCCCGCCAAAATATTTCGGAAAAATATTACGATTTACGTGAGTTTGAGTGAGAATTTTTATATATAACATAGTGCTACAAAAGTGGGAAGTGGTATTAAGTTCCTGGCAGATCTGTCGATTAAATTAAGAGTCGAAATATGAAATTTGCCAAAGACTCCAAAAATCTTGGCTTACGGTTAAAAATCCTGTTTTCCGAACCTTACATATTTAAAAACTTCTCAAACTGATTTTCAGTTTCTCACCGGTTTAAGAAAGAAAAAACTTAGGCCTTTCGAAGGGTGCATATATCAATTTATAAAATTTTAGAAATCTGTGTGTATTCGTCCAGCAAACACAATAATCCCTCTCTTTTTCGCCTTTTTTCAATATAGGCGATTTTTTAAGATACTATTTTATAAAGCAACCATTGGCTCAAGACTGAACATCGGTTGATAGTTTTAGGCTTTTAAGTGCCGAAATGTATGCTAAACCGGTTTTCAATCGTAAGGAAAATAACATCTCTTGCCAGATATTTTGAAGTTTGGCACCTTGAAATATTCGTTTTTCGAAATATTTTTTATATAACATCACCTCAGATGACAGAAGAGCTTAAGCTTAAGATGTCTGCATAAAAATGTTTAAATATTTTATCAACGGAATTAAAATAATGTGATATTTTGAGGTATTTTCAAGTTGGTCTAGCTTACGTAAATTTTAATTTTTTTTTTTCGAAATTTTTTGGCGGAAGTCTTAAAATATAATAAATTTTATAATTCCTGTGGAAAACCGCAACTTTTTTTTATGATGCATCCTAATATAACATACATTATATGAGGCATTCAGATCGAGTTCATTACTCACGCGAGCCTAAATTTTATGGTCTTTCCTAAAGTTGATCGACGGTCATATTTTTTGATCGATCGTTTAGTTAGTTTGACCAAATAGAAAATAAATTTCCAAGTTAATATGTACATTCTCCATGCACGTGATTTTTTGTGCATAACGTCTTCAATAATGACAGTTTACAATTTTCTCTCTCTCGTTGTTATTTCTCAAAAATTTTGTCCTATATGGACTCTGTTTCGTTCATGTGGACGCCTTTTTAAAAGTACTACGGTATACTTGCTTAGCTTTTGTCGCTCATGAAAATAATAAAAACAAACAAACAGACTGCAGCATTAGATAAGAGTATGGTGTTTTAAGACTAAGCAGATAACTTTCTAAAATTCAAACCATTGCTTTTTCACTACATACTATTAACATGACGTCCCTGCGATAGTACCAATAAAATTACCAAGGAAAATGTATAAACAGCAACAGCCTGTTAAATTTATTTTCCATAGTAGTCGTAAACAATTTTTCTGTATATTTCACACCATCACTTTCTTCATTAATTTCTATTCTCCTTTACTTTACAGTGATCGCATGACCGCTGCAGGATGTCTCGAGCACATTTGGTTGAAAGACGAATGCTCCATCGATAGACAAATCCTCACAGACATCACCAAACCAACGACAGTCGACTCAGCAACAGCTGCAGCCGATGATGATGATGAAGATGACGTCTGCGACGACGACGATGAGGAGGAGGTGGACGAGGACGAGGACGAGGAGGAGGATGTAGTGGGAGCGGATGAAGTAGAGAATGAAAACGAAATGTCACATGATGACGGTGAAGATGAACAAGTCAACATAAGCATTGATGCTGACCAATTAAATGGTACAAACGGCAGCAAAATGGAATCATCCGACACGGAGGAAGTGGAGGAGGGAGCTCAGCCATCCAAGCCTGCGCCTGCGCCTGCAGTTATCACGAATGGCCAAGCAACATACAAAAACAGCAACAGCAGCAATGGATATGGCAAATATAATGGACGCAGTGCCAGCAATGCCAATTCAACAAGCAACAGCGCGCGCTTCAACAGTACCACGAACGCTGGTTCTGCTGGTAGATATTCTAATGGCACAAAATCTGCTTCAAACGGGAGTACAACAACAACGACACAAAGAACAACCGCCATCGTTACGGTGCCAGCAATGCGTGCCACAACTATACCGCTACAGTACAACAGCAGCCTTCAGCACCGCCAATATCCGCACCACCAACAACCGCAGCAGCAGTTGCAGAAGCCACATCAACAACACCTACAGATACCTGCACGCCGGCACTCATCTTCAGATTCCAATAAAGAGAACACATATTTGGCCACCAAGAAAATCACGCCGACAACAGCTGGTATTGGGAGTGTCGTGGTGAAGAAGCCACTTTCGGCCACATCAACAGCAACAATAATGATTGCAAGCAGTGATGTGGGCACTTCAACGACGACAGCGGGGGGAGTTGCAGCAGCCGCCAATGTGGTGGCCACATTTACACTGCCCAGCGGTGGCTATGGTGGCAACAGTAGCCAAATGAATGTGAATAGCAATAATGCTAATAACGAAAAATACATAAGTACCACAACAGCAACACACTGCCTCTTCCCCGACGCACCTACAACCCCGAAAGTAATACGTAAGGCACCCAACGCCGAGGCATCGCCCACCTCTGTGAAAGCGCTAGTGAAAAAGTTTCAACTAGAAGGTGGCAACACAAGTCCGAGCAGTTTGGAAAAGCACGCATTGACACATCTTAAAGAGGCACAATCAACCAATCAGCAACCGCAACATGCCAATACAACATCACCACAAATGAACGGCGCCAGCAGTGACAGTAACAGCAGCAAGAAGTCTTCGCCAATGAGCAACGGCATCGCAAAGAAATCGGATTCGATGAGAAAATATGTTGATAAGAGTGGAATTGGCAGCACCATAACCAACGGCCGACGCGCCTCTGAACCCACAACGACTGTAAAACATGTAACAGTGGCGCATACCCGCTGTGGCAGTATGCCAACCAGCTACAAATCGACTTGCGTGCTTTGTATCAGCTACGGTGGCAGCAAGACGCCAGCGACGACGGCGTCAATGAACGGCACCGCCGCCAACGGATGCAGGCATTCTATGGATGGCGCAGGCGGCAAACATACCAAGGCATGCAATGGCAACAGCACCAATAAAGCTAGTAACAACATTGCCGCTAATAAGAGTAATAAAATGGGCAACAGCAACACTAACGCCACGACCACTGCTACAGCAACAGCAACAGCCATCGTTAATGGCAGCAACTCCTCGACGACAACCACCACTACTACTGCCGCTTTATTGCTTGGCACCCATCAGCAGCAGCAACACCTTCATAATCATCATCATCATCATCATAACGTCAATGGCGTACACCATCACCCACACTCCCAACCCCATCCCCATCATCACCACCACCACCACCATCACATGCATGTGGCGGCGAAGAGTGCTGCAGGCAACAATTTAAGCTTGGATCAGGGTATTATTTGTTAGCTAAGGGCCAACCGTGCGCGCAGGAATGCCAGAAATTTCTTTAATCGATTTCTATGTTGTATGTAGTATTGCGTGGATGCTGTGTAAGCGGCTGGCGAGCGAGCGCAAACTAATAGCTTGTAGATATTTAGGTAGCTATGCAGCTTGGCTGCTTGGTGGCAACAGCAACAGGTGGTTGAGGCGGTTGTGTGTGCGTGCGCAATTAAGGAGATATGAGCGCATATTTTCCCGCCCACTATTTTTTTTCTTAAACTTAATCTGTCTTGTTAAAGTAATGCTTAAAAAGTGATTAAACTAAAATATATTTATAAATATAAGTATTGTTGCAAAATATGCGTTCTAAACTCCTCTGACGAAACACACACACAAGTGGCCGATGCTGATGCCAAATGACCACAGCACACGCATGCGCGCTTTAGCGTAGTAGAAGCCGCTGTAAATCGGTGCGTGAAATTAGTAGCACGCAGCTTAATTTAGTTAGGTGTTATAACTTTACAGTTATTTAATATGAAAACAAAAAACTATATTGATACGAAATAGTTGCGAAACTGGTAGCGTAAAATTGATAAGTTGATATCTGAATTAGGTCAATATGGTGGATGATGATTGAATGACATATGGCAGTTGCACAAGACTTTCTATGTACTTGTATGAATGCATTATTCCCAACAAATATTTAAAGCATAGCGGTTCTTCAATGAGTGTTTTGTCCAATTCTGTTTATTTTTTTATAAACAGCACTATTACTGTTTGTATTCAAAAGCTTCCGCTTAATTCGTACGCATTCAGCTGCTTGCAGTATGCCCTTCTACTTTTTTACTGAAAAATGTTCAGAAAAAACCTCTCAGCCATTCACACACACACACACATACACGAACGTTCAGCTACTTCTCTATTATTTAATTTATTTAGTTGATTTACGCTATGATTACGATTTTTTATAATTAAAAAAAAAATGCTGTAGTCTCTAAGTCGGTTTATTTTTGTGAAACCTTTATTTTATAATAAATATAATTCCGCATATCAAAACACAATTAATTTGCATAGAATAAAAAATTTTATGGTGAAAAGTAATATTTCTATTACTGTTGGAAGTTAAAGCTAAAGTTGTGAATTGCAGCAAAGAAATGCCCAATATTCTAGTTTTTATATAAATAAATAAAACTAAATTAAATATTTGAAGAAATGCGCATGGCAAAGCAGTGGCTTTTGCGTTTTTGCTAGCATGCGCTGCTGCTCTTATTAAAGGAAAGAGCCTTAGTTAATTAGTTAATAAATATAAAAGTGTATACCTGTAGTAGTGGTTATACTGGCTGTTAGGGCTTCAAATTGTTGGTGTCGCTGCCGTGGCTGTCTTCTTATGCTGCGCTGCTCTGCCAAGCAGCTGAGATTTAGGCGGTTCACTTAATTTTCTATCTAATTATTGATTGCTTTTTTTTTCTTTTGTTCGATAACCATTTTCTCTACAAACTTTTTTCTGAACAATCGCAGAAATGATAAAACTCGGTAACTAAAAAAATTTAAAAGGAAATTATATATGTACATATGTATGTACAGCTTTAGCTACTTTTACTTTTAGTTAAAACCGGCATTCTTCAATTAAATAATTACATCCATATAAATGCGAATGCTGTTGTTAAGTATATGCCGATCGTAGACAAATAGTTACTAATTAATTGAGTTATGATAATTGATAATAACTGAAATTGAATTAATAGTTATAAAAAAATCTATGTGGCTACTTTCTGTCAACACAACACATAAACGAATAAAATAAATCCATTATATTTGGTAATGCATTATAAATACATATTGTTTGTTTTTATTTCTGTTACAATTTTTGGTTTCGACAAGGTGGTATGATTTTAACTTTAATTTAACACACTTGATTTTAACACTTTTAAGCACTTGGGGTTGTTTGGAATTTTTTTATTGAGCTGAACTCGTTCTCGTTAACAATTTCTCTTTAAGCTTGAATTTAAAGCATTTATGCTCCGATATAGAATTTTAAAGAATCTTAAGAAAGCACTTATTATTGGAGCAGCATTATCTATGTCTATGGAAACCATAATTCTATAGTCATTTGTTCGAATATCTTCTTACAGTGGTGGAAAAATAAATAGTGACCCGAAATTTTTTATTTTGTTTATTTAATATTTATTATTTTTTTTTTATAAAATTATAGCTCATTATCTAACAAAAACCATATAAATTCATATTTCAAACTTCGTGCGAAAATTATAAAAATTCTGCAAAATTGCACCTAAATTTCCAACTTTTTAATCAGATTTTTTAGAATTTTTTGCAGTTTGCAGTTTTATAGCCCATTAAATTTTAGTTCAATGAAGTGTAAGTTTCAAGTTGCTAAAAAATCGCAATTTTTTTAAACGCATTTTCTTCCATACAAAGTTTGTTCGAAAATTTTTTTGTATGGAAAAAAGTGCGTAATACATTCAGAATAAAAATTATCAAAAATCAACGCGATTTTTTAGGAACTTCAAACTTGCATTCTATTTTACTAAAATTTAGTGGGCTATATAACTGCACATTTTAAAAAATCTGATTAAAATGTTGAAAATTTAGGTGCAGTTTTGCAGAATTTTTATAATTTTTGCACAAATGTGAATTTATATGTATTTTGTTAGATAACGAGCTATAATTTTATAAAAAAAAAATAATAAATATTAAATAAAGAAAAGTAAAAAAGGAAAAATTGGTTAAAATATCGTGTCCCTATTTATTTTTCCACCCCTGTATAAATAAAATTTTCGCCGTTTTTCAGCGTATATGGTAGAGATATCTCTAAAAACCGTATTACGATACGATTTGGCTCAAATTAGATACACGAAAGGAAATATTTTATCAAAAAAAATTACTTGATAGTTGGCGCTGGGATCGATATTGCTTCTCTCATGGACAATAATGATACGTCGCATGCTCCAGACCAACAAAAAAAATACTCATCCGAAAACTTTTTTTTTTCAATGGAAAACATTTTTTTTTTTTTTTTTTCTTTACGGTTCACTTCAAAAGGCCACAGAAATGGAAATCAAGGTTAAATTGAATTATATGTTTTCAAATGGGGGTTTCGTTTCTTTTTGTCGTGCCCGATGCTATGTTTCTTCCGTACATGGCACACTCTATGTAGTAACGCAGAAAAGGCTCAATCTCTCACCATTGCAACTTTGTCAGAGGAGATGGTTTTCCTGAAAATCAGATGGCTGATTTAAGCGACAATATTATGAAATGTGTGAGCTAGATAAGGATAGGTTTCCATATTAAACAGGCGCATTTATAGGGTCGAGTGCAACATCAAAAATATTTTTCAGTGTGGAAGGGCAACATTTTTTCGAAGAAACGAAAACATCGTTAGTGAAGTTACATAACGTTACCTTAATTCACAAAGGCCCTAGCCAACACTTTTTTCGAAACTGCGTTTTTTACAGATTTTGGTAGGATATATTTAAATACAAATTTATTCAAAATTTGAAAGTGTTAGTAGCAAAAGTAACGGAGTTATGCATGTTTCAATGTTTTTTGCTTCTCTTGTAAAATAGACTAAGTCATTTTGTATTTCAGGTATGTGCACTGGCGGTCAAAACTGGATGAATGGTGTTTTGTTTTTAATTTTTACAATGTTTTCTTTTCAGCAAATTTTTTTTGTTATTTTTTTATAAAAATATGGTTGGTGCTTTAAAAAAACCATTAAAATCAAACTTTTTACAAATTTAAAAAAAATTGAATAAATTTTCATAAAATTGTTTAGCTGTTTAATCAGAAATTTTGTAACCTGGGCTAACACAGAATCCATCATAGTCCGATGCTATCACTGAATCCGAATAGCCACGAACGTAGCAAATCGGATTCAGTGATCGCATAGCACGAACCATATTTTTGTAAAAAATAAATAAAATTTAGCTTGAAAAAACATTGTATATTTTATTAAGTGCTTATGTATAGTATATTTGTATGTTGCAAATGTTGGGGTTTAATTGTTAGGATGTTCAAATTGTCTATGGAAATCGTAGGTACTGTAAATCTTCTGCTTCATTTTGAATCTAATTTCCTAACGTCGTTTGCACAGTGGACAGCTAATTCACATTCGGCGTTAACATTCAATTTTTGTGCTGAAAATCGTTAGTTAACTACCGAATATGAGTCAACTCTGTGCTCTGAAAATGGGCCTCACTAATGTGAACAAGTAGAAAAAATATAGATATTTATTAAAAATGTGCTTGTGGTAAGCTCTTTGCCATAGATTTTAAGACTGTTAAGCAAGTCAAAAAATAATAATATTTGTATAGATTTATTCGAATGAAATTAAAAAAAAAAAAAACATATCAAACTCGTTATATCCGGTAATACAAAAATTTTAGGTAATGTTAAAAAGTGAAAATGTTCACAAATAGATATGCTGACGTTTATAAGATAAGATGAAAATGTTGAAAATGAATGTAGGTACATGCTTACATATTTAATAACAATAAAAAAGCATAATTACGATAGCAGCGATTAATTGTCAATTAAATATACGAAAACTTAAAATATGTATGTGTTTATGTGAATCGGTCTTTCAAAATTCTGTTGTAAAATAGCAGTGTTGGGCAGTATCGATACCAAAAGTACTCTGAAATCGATTCTCAAAAGGATTGACAGCACCCGATTTTTAAAAGTATCTATACTGAGTACGCCAAAGTGCTTAGTACTCACAAAGGAACTCGAAAGTATTCAGTACTCAAAAATACTCTGTTCCAATCATCGCTTTGATACAAATACTCAGGATCGATTCAAAGCAGTCAGTATTATGTGTCGTATAGATACTTAAAAGTACTGAGTTTTGTCTAAATAAACCGGTACTCATAAATGATTATACTCAACTGAATTTAAAGTTTTAATAGTTTTCAAGTACTATACTTGTACCCAGTAAAGTTCATTTGACGTTACTTGGGATTAATAGTTTGTGAGATTTCTACTATATTTAAAGAAAGTAATACTCTCAAAGATACCAGATGCTTAAAAGTATCGATGCCAAAGAACTCGATCCTCAAAAGTACTCGATACCTTCAAAGCACTTTAAAATTCAAAATATATTATATATATACAATATTCGAAAATGTATTGCCTGCCAAGCCAAATGTTTTTGGCATTTGTAACAACTTTGGTATTCAAAATTTTTTTTAGAGCGGCTGAGAATTACCTACGGTCAAATAGTAGTATATATAAAGTCAATACAAAATTCAGGAAATTACACAATAAACACAATAAATGTGAAACGACGAACGCACAAAATTCAGTTCACGAGCTGAATACGCAAGTTCTCACATCGAATATGAATTTTTCAAATTTACGAATTTTCGAAATTATTTATATACAAATGCCGTTAAATTTCGCAAGGTTTCGAATAAGTCAATAATTGCGTATGTATTTAACATCAACATAAATGATTTTATAAATTCTTTTTTGGAAAAGAAAGCAAAAATATTAAAATTAAGAAATTTCGAAAATATACAAGCGAGTTTTCATGGTCGATATACTTATAAATGTATGTATATATGTATGTTCTGATGTGCAAGTTTGTTTTAAATGTTGCTAAAATATGTGAATGTATTATCGTATAATATTAAAAGCTACAAAGATATGCCAAATAAATGGATCTATAGTCTTGATGAGTGTTTTGTGAAATTGATAAAAAAAATAAAAAATTTACAATATCAGTAGATAAATATGTAAGGGTGTTTTCAAAAATCAGTGTCTGCATGTAATAACAAAGCTTGGCAAGTTTATAAGAAAGAAGAGAGAAGAGAAAAATTACTTATGGCAGTGTTATTTGTTAAATTATATTAATACAAAAATTTTGAAAAACAGATTTACAAAGAACAGCGCGTCGAAGAGTATGCAGCAAAGGCTAAAAACATAGTTAAATTTAATTTGAAAAGAACTTTTTTTATGTAGAGCTTATTTTTAGGCAGCTGCTAAAGAAAAAGGTAAATTCATAAAAAAAAAATATAAAAAAATAGCAACGTTAAAGCAGCCGAATTTCAATTTTCCACGCCAAAAATTTGAAATAAATAATTTATTGCATATAGTACGTATAAGTATTAGGGTGCGTCACACCCCATACAGATAAAAAAAAAATCTGTACCAAAATATTTCGGAAAAATATTAAAAATTACGTGAGCTGAACCCATTTGAAAATACCTCACAAAAATGGTTTTTTTTTAATAAAATCGGGTTTTAGAAATACTTTTTCTAAACAATTACCTAAACATTTTTGCGACCGAATCAAAATGATGAAAGGAGGTATTTCACGTAAATCTTAATATTTTTCCGAAATATTTTGACGGAAGTCTTAGAATATGTATAATGAATTCAATAATTCCGGTGGAAAACGCGCACCTTTTTTTTGGTGATGCACCCTAACTTACACAAATTATGAAAAACCAAACTATTTAATACAAAAGAGCCAACTGAAATTTAATTTGTAAAAAACTTAACTGAATTCGCAGCTTTTGATGTCTATTGCGATATCAGTAAAACCTAATCGATAACAGGCATACTTACATACATTCATATGTACATAAAAACTTTTGCATAGCGTTTTATGTCAATTTGAGCAAAAGTATTTTTAAAAGGAACTTCAAAAAAATTGTTATTGCGCATTTTAGCTAAGGTCGTATTATTTTGCGCTATAAATAACGCTAAAGAAAATATTTGACAAATATTTTTAAATACATATAAATGTAAAATATCAAAAATTTATACGTGAATAAGTGTAAAAGAATTTTTAAAATCCTTCTATTCCCTCT